TTAGTCGCACTAAATACAGCCGAATCTTGATGATTCGAACTCAAAGGGACCCGAAAATTAGTTAAGAATAAAAGAAGTTCGACTAATTAAAGCTAAATGAATAAAGGGCTCACCATGCGGTGGCGCATGTAGTGCGAATGTAATGACGTGAATTCCTTGGTGGCTTTTTTTGGAAAGACTGTGGCAACTTGTATTGAGCGCTTCGTCCGAATCAAAACGGAGAAGAAAAACCCCCACCTTCCCTGGATATCGCGTGATATACTTCACCTGTCGCGTCGGGTCGCCAGACTGAGACGTTTAAAAAGAAATAGTGACCCCCTTAAAATACAGAAATTCAACCTCACCAAAGAAGAACTTCAGATCAAATTAATTCGTCGAAGGATTTCTATTTCAATGTTACGTAGCAAGATTTAATGAAAAGCAACCCTAAAAAATTTTGGGCTTCTATTTTACCCACCTCAGCTGCCACAAATACAGTTGCTATAATTAACGTCCCCTGCAGTGACCCCTCAACCATTTCTAACGCGTTCAATGAATACTTCCAATCGGTATTTACAACTGACAACTTAGACATCCCTAGCTTTCGCCATGGTTCAAATAACTCAATCAGTGACATTTCCGTATCTCTCGACGGTGTTATGAACCTAATTTTGCACCTGGGAAATAAGAGATCTCTTGGTCCTGACGGCATTCCTAATATTTTTCTTCTTAGATATTGTGAGTGCACCAGCCGCTACTTGACCATAATTTTTCAAAAGTCCTTAAGCACTTCAACTGTTCCTTCAGCTTGGAAATTAGCGAAAATTCTTCCTATGCATAAATCTGGCAGCAAGCAGTCACCATTAAACTATTGCCCAATTTCATTAACATCTCAATCAAGTAAACATTTAGAACACATAATCTTTAAGCATATCATGGGGTTTCTTTAAAATAATAACATCCTAAGTAATGCCCAGCATGGTTTTCGCCAAGGTTTTAGTACAACAACCCAGCTTGTAGAATTTTCTCACGACATTTCGAACGATCTAGACTCTGGTTACCGAATTGATGCAATTATCATCGACTTTGCAAAAGCATTCGACACTGTAACACATTCAAAACTTCTGCACAAACTTCACACTGTTCTTAACAATTATTCCTTAGTTGACTGGATTGCTAGCTTTTTAAACAACCGTTCTCAGTTTGTTTCTTTTAATTCCTCAAACTCGTCTGTTGTGAATGTTTCATCCGGAGTCCCCCAGGGTTCAGTCCTGAGACCACTTTTGTTCTTATTGTACATAAATGATTTGCCCAATTAGGTGTCTGCGAAAATCCGCCTTTACGCTGTGGTGTACACGTATCCCGAAGGAGTACGGCCACCAGCGTGGGTTCGGTCTTAGCGAGCCGCAGGGCACGCGTTAACCGTCGCCGTGGCGAGAACACGATACTGCTCAAGTCGCAACACTTTATTGTGGCAACACCAAACGCAGTACAGCCCGTTGCAAAAAGGCGCGGCGGGAAAGCAAATAGGCTTATCCACGCCACGGGCACAAAGTACTACACAGGGTGCCACGAGCACGTCTCCGCGATAAAGGTGATCCACGGAGACACCGGGACAAAGGGCCCGGTTGCTCGAGCGAGGGCAAAGGCGCTCGCGTTGGCTTCGGAGGGAGACGGGTCGGCGTAGCTAGGCCACGCACTAGGACACCGTACTGCCCTTCGGCTGTGAGTACGCAGCGGGGCAACAAAAGGTGAGCGTTCGCCTCGGGCGCGAGGCGCCGTCGGCGAAGTCCGACGAGCCCCGAGCGACGAGACTCGACGGACGGAAAAGAATGCGTGGCTCACCGTTTGAAGTCCCGGACTGTACTCACCGCTCCCGACGCAGCGCGCGAAAACCTCTTGCGAGTCCCCGCGTGCGGCGCCACAGTCAACATCCGCTACCGGGTGAGGGAGTTAAACGTCACTCAGCCCTTCCCAGCGCGGCAGACAGCAAAGGAGGGCAGACATGTCGGGACATGAGAATGGCAGAAAGGCGGGAAAGCCCGCGCAAAGGCAGCGGGCTAGCCTCAATTCCCACAACGCTGATGACTGTGTCCTATAAAATGTAATTAATACCAATGATAACCACAATTTACTTAATGACTGTTTTGCACAATTTTGCAGATGGTGTGACACATGGCAAATGAACTTAAACTTTACTAAAACAGTAGCTCTTTCCTTCTGTAAACGCAGCTCCGTTTCGTTGTTTGATTACTCCTTCAATGGCTCCTCTCTGCCACGTGTGTCCGTATATAAGTACCTAGGCCTTATCTTCACCCCCAATATGTCTTGGTCTAAACATATTGAATACTCTTGCAATAAAGCTTTAAAGAAACTGGGCTACCTAAATCGTACATTAAAAGATGCTCTACCCGAAACAAAGTTGCTAACGTATAAATCGCTCATTCGTCCCATTTTTGAATATGCCTGCCCCGTATGGAACCCTCATGAAAAATCGGACATCAGCACACTAGAATCCGTTCAGAAAAAAGCCATCCGTTTCATTTTCCGCTGTTATGATTGGAATTTCTCACCCTCCTCTCAACTTGCTACGCTAGGTCTGCAAACCCTGTCCGAGCGACGCGAGCTCGAATGCCTAAAGTTGCTGCATATTCTTGTTAATACCCCACGCTACGCATTAAATAACGAATATCTGTCTCCTGATAAACTGAAACCCACAAGGAATAGCCACAAACTCAACCTGACACCATTCCATCCACATACTAACCTATTTAAATTCAGCTTTTTTCCGCACACTATAGAAAAATGGAATGTATTGCCTGGGTCAACTAGATCATTGCCTTTAGAAGATTTCTTGCATGAATGTATTGATTCACGATTTGTTTTTTATTAAAAGTTGTAATTTCTTGCATGAATGTACTGATTTGGAATTCGTTTATTAAGAGTTCTATTCCTGTTTGTTAAGAGTTGTATTCTTGTGTGTGCTGATGTTAGCAAACCCACTCCTGCGATAGCCCAATTCGGGCTGCAGTATGTAAAAATTAATAAATAAATAAATGTGCATTAAGCTAACACACTAGGGGGAAGTTTCAGAAGACTTACATTTATTCACAAATCACAGGACATCCGTCATCAATTGAAGAAATCGGTCCTGCTGGCACCGTTGGTAGCACCGCTCCAGAGGCTAGGAGTAATATTGCAAGATGAGCTAGTTCGTATGTGTGCACCGGACCTTATTTTTAGCGCACTTGAACAAAGAAAGGGAACAACACCGCGCTTGTGTTGCTCCTGGTCTTACATTGGTATTGTTCCCTCTCTTTGTCCGTGTGTTAGTGTGCACTGAAAATAAGTTACCATCCTTCAGAGGCTAATCCGCAACCGGAGCGTGGCTAGCACATGACGAGAAAAGAGGAACGACTCCACGCGGAGAGAAGCAGATCGACATTTGAGAGAGAACTATGTGGCAGCATAGAGAAAGAAAAAAAACTTTTTTTTCTTTCTTTATAGCGGCAGCTTCTTTTTGTTCTTTTTTTCACTTTCTTTCACGTGCGGCATTTAAGGGACAAGGGTCTTTACGTGGCAGGGATGAGAAGGGGGGAATTGGAAGCGCAAACCAACGGGACACAAGAGAAGAGACAAACAAGCGCAGACTGAAACTCAGTTTACTCAGAGAAGAAATTATATACCAGAAAGAAGAGAAAGGGAAAAACTGGGGGAAAGGGTCCACCATGATCAGGTGTCGTCCAGAAACGAGATTTCACAATCTCACAGTGATATAGACGGTGAACTAACACAACCATCAATATTCTTTTTAATAAAAAAGGCTTCCGCAATCTCTCTAGTTTTCGTGTCATGATGACTGTATAAGACAAACGTGCACGAAAAATCAGGTACGCAGCCACACTTATTGCAATGGGCGGACAAATGTAAACCCGGGGCTGAATTCAGCGCATTGTAGTGTTCTCGCAGGCGAACATTCAAGCAGCGCCCAGTCTGCCCAATGTATAACCTGCCGCAAGACAGTGCAATACAATAAACGACATTAGATCGACAATTGGTGAAAGAATTGATATGCTTGACACCACAACCTTTCTTTACAAGACCTGCCTTCATTCTGCTTTGCAAGTCAATTCTAGAACACATTTGCTGCAGTTTTCTACTTGCCGAAAACACAACGTCGAGGTTGAGTTTTTTTGCACATTTTTTATATTATGCAAAAGCTCTTCTCTTGTGTCCCGTTGCTTTGCGCTTCCAATTATTTCATTATGAATTCGTACTAACTAGCCCGCCTGTCCAGCCTTCTGCAAAAAGGGGGAAGCATGGCACCGGCGCATCGCAGATCAGCGAGAGAACCAACACTTCAGGACAGCTTTCTTTTTTTTTTTCCTCTCTCTCTATGCACACAGCGTTAAAAGGAGAAGGGTCAAGGGTCTTTATGTGGACGAGACGCAAAAGGAAGAAACGTGGCACAGGCACGTCGTAGATCGGCATTTGAGAGAGAGCAAACATTCCCCGCAGCCTTTTTCTTTTTCTTCTTTTCCTCCTTCGCGCGCAGCGTTGAGGTGTCGCAGGCGCCGCTGCAAGATTGGGCGTGGTGCTGAGATCATTTTCGAAGCACAATATGTACGAATAAACCATCGCAAGTGCTAGCGCGTTTGAATTACAGGGCGTTTTCGCCCATTGAAATAGTACACATAGCTTTGACGGGACCACAGCGTGAATTCGAATTAACCAGAAGTTCGAATTAAGTGTGTTCGAATTAATGAGATTCGACTGTAATCTGAGGCATGAGCACTTCTGAGTGTGTGCCCATGATTTTGTCATTGTTAAAGCAGTGTGCACACTTTTACAGTAGATGATTAGATGACCAAGCTCCTAAGATGGCGTTACTTTAAAATGCTATAGCAAAGTCAACTTAGTAACACATTTCCTGTTGCCTGATCAGCAGAATTTCTGTCGAAGTTTCACACTTTCACACCAGTCTCTGCACGAGTTGCCCCAGAACAGCAGCGGTCCCTTACCTTGGGGCAGGGCTGCACTAGCCCAGCCACCGTCCGTGTCTCGAATGCGGCGGCTGAAATCTGCCGACGAGTTGCGTGAGTGCCTGAGGTCAAGAGAGGATGCACGAGAGTGGCCCCTGACACCGCCCGTGCGCAGGTCGGACGAACTGCGTGAGAGCTGTGGTGGAGGCACCATGGACGACGAGGCCTGCCGAGCATCCAGAGAAGGGTTGCGCGAGTGGCCACATGAGGAGGTTGGCGGCGGCCGCGAGCCACCCAAATCTGGCATCACGCGGAAAACCGAGCCTGGCCGCGCATCTGCATGGACAAGAACACAAATGACACCACAGCTGACTCAACCTGACTACCTTTGAGGGCACTGCAAATATCAGAGCATTTAAGTGTCACCCAGCACGCACCTACCTCTATGGTCAAAGAAAGCTGTCAAATTCAGCTCTCCTGCCTTTTAGTGCATGCACTTGTGTAGCTGCAATGTGATTCAATTAACACAAATGCTTTTCTCTGCTCTAGAGAATTCTGCAGATTCATCGCAAACTTTAGTTATGTTAGATTCAAGTGGTAGTTCAAAAAATAGCAGCAAGAGGAAGCTTGTGATAAAAAAAATCTGTAAACAGGGCCAGTGTGCCAACGTTTTGACAAGCAGTTTTCTCTTCCTCAAAGATAGAACTAATTTCCCTAGCGCTAATGTGCCTCCTCCAATTTGAACAAAATAGGGAGAGAGGGCAGCATCACACAAACTGTGTGAGTAAAAGGGATGTGCTGTAACACAAATAACAAGTCACTGCATATCCAAAAAGTGAATGATGAGTGGCCAAAGCCTGGGGATCCCCGCTTTGAACCACATAGAGAAAACACTTCAAACACTCCTGTGTACGTTTCTGCTACGTGGTTAAAAGGGGGGTAAGTAGGTTTGGGTGGGTAGCAGCAGCCATATGTAACGCTTTTGCAGCCGCTTCTAGCGATACGAGCCCTCAACTCTGGGTTGCCTTTTCAGCTGCTCTGGAAGCATTCAGCTATTCATGCAGTTTTGCCGCCTTGTCTTTGTTGTTTTCGCTGTCGAAGAGTGAGAGATTGCACACCTGGAGGCAATGGCACCACAACGCCACCAGTGGTCTCCACTCAAACCCAGAGTCCTCGCTGTCAAAAAAAGAGATCATGTACCGGGAGCGCCTGAAGTGGGCGCTCTAGCTACTATGTCACGGCAGCAAGAGGACCAGGCTCAACCGTAAGGAGCTTTGCCCATAAAAGAAAAAAGCCGGGCCATGTTTCTCTGAATCACTGTTGCCAAAAGAAGCACCACCAAACCATAGTAGGTTTGAAATTTCTAGAAGAAGAAATATTTTATGTATTGCTTTCAAAAGAACAGTCAGGACAGTGTCACCTTGCATTGATTGATTTGCTGTCGAACCAATCGTTTCAAGTGTCGAACCAATCGTTTCAAGTGTCGAAAAAATTATTCACAGAGTTTATGAAATCATTCAAAAATTAGAGCTTTTTTTCACAATTCTGTAAGGCCCACCACTTCCACACACCATCACGAGCACACAAAAAAAGCTAGAGTGGCAAGTGACAACAAGCTATTTTTGGCGCTCAAGGCAGCCCCATTCCCCATTGCACATGCTGCTCCTGCAACTCTCTCTTTTCACTAGTGACAGGACGAAATAAAAGGTTAGACGGCAACCTGTCAGGCGAGGAAAATACATAGGTATGTGGAAAAGGATACACCAACCAAAAAAAAAACAAGAAAATGTACACTTCATTGACGTTTCTGCACCCCAATATGGAAAGAAACATCATAAGAGCCACAATAAAAGCCAATGACGTGGCTTACAAGCGGCACCAGGCTACAATAGGCACTGCAAAGTCCAAGACCTGCTGCCACATCTAACAGGTCAGCATGTCTGTGTACGACCTCACCAAGTGCAGGCTGCGATCCTCAGACTGGGGCAAAAGCCATGCGATCCTCAGGTCTTCCTCGGTCCACGTCATTTTGCTGGCAGGGCTTCATCTGCTTTACATCATGTTCAGCAAGTTCCTTCTTGTTGTTGTTGACAGTGGTGGCGGAGTACCTTCAGCATTTTGTCATACAGCAACCCCACCTCCACTGATTGCTTACCTTAGTTTTCCGAATACGAGCTGGGCGATTGGCCCCAGTTTGATTCGGTGTACTGCCGCCGATGTGGTAACATGTAGCTGCCGTGCGACAGTGAACAGGATGGTGCTCGTTGTTACTACTATGGCCTGGTAATGTAGTCAGCGATGTTGCGAGGCCGTTCACTTCTCTGAAGACACGGCACTTTGATGGCTAAACTGTGCACAGCCATCTGTCAATAGTGACGTGACTGCGATGGTACGTGTGGCCGGCCTAATCACAGGGGCAGCAGAGTGGGCGGCTGTCAGGGGCACACTAAACCTTGTTTTCCTCGGTGCGTTGCGTTGGCTGGCAGGTGGGCGGTATGGAATCAATGGTGGTGGTGTCTGGCAGTAAAAATCCAGTGGTACAGCTTTTTGATGTGGACGTGGAGGCGTACCTACAGGAAAGTCTCGGAGTGTCGTTTACCAGATCCCGTGCGCTGACTGCCCCACTTTCTATATTGGGAAAACAAAACTTGCATGAAAGGCTGTGGCAGCACAAGATATGATTGATTGATATGTGGGGTTTAACGTCCCAAAACCACTATATGATTATGAGAGACGCCGTAGTGGAGGGCTCCGGAAATTTAGACCACCTGGGGTTCTTTAACGTGCACCCAAATCTGAGCACACGGGCCTATGGCAGCACAAGAAGAACCTCCGTCAATTGAAAAAAAAAAAAAAAAAAGCCAAAGGAGCGCAGTAGCAGAACACTGCAAGCGGTTTGACCCTCACATCCGCCCAGATGACCCAGTGATTCTGGAAAGAGAAAGGAACACCCGCCAGTAACACCTCCTTGAATCCTTGCACATTCAGCAGACAGTCAACCTCTCTCCACGACGACATTGTCCCCCTCTACTGCCAGGGTTTGCAACGACGAACCTGTCACGCAAGATGAGCAAGCGTATTTATATAAGCACCGCTCATCTCTGACTTTCTCACCCCTGAAGAACAAGCAAGTCTGGTCTCTAAGCGTTGTGTTTCTTAATACCATTTTTTGGTTCAAGTTTCTGATTGCTTACCTTCACTTCCTACCCCAACCAGGCAGATTTCAGCCAAATGTTCACCTTTGATCCTTTCAGGTTCGTTGTAATGAGATTAAACTGAAGCTGTCTTAGAGGCCACCCTTGCTAAACAATTTGCAATAAAATGGAGCATCACAATACTGTGCAAAAATTATCAGGTGACACCAGAAAAGCTGGGTATGTAAAACTACAGCTGCTTTACTTACCAACCATGCCGGGCAGTGCGGCAAGGCATGATGGGTCAACAGCAAATGGAGGCCGTGGGGCCCCATGGTCGGGACGTCGGTCAGGTCCACCGGCAGGCGTTGGCAGGAGACCGGAGGGTGGCATGTTGCGGCCACCACTGGCAACCTCGTACGGTGGCACTGCTGCATGCACAAGTATCCAACCTTTCCTGAATTCCCAATGAGGCTTGACAGTGCAACCAACTCAACACCGATTCCTTTCCATAACTCGAGAATGTTTTTTAAAGACGATAGTCTTTCTTGGGGACCTTCGACGCAAAAATTTTGGTCTGTCTGTCTATACATTTGTCTGTTTGTCCACTCTTACGGTACTGGGTACGCTAAATAGCACTAGCCGCTGCCCCAAATGGCCGACCCCATCTGCAGCGCCCACCAATGTTGCTCTAGCTTCGGCGTTCATACATGTACAATTGTCAAATAAAAAAAGAATTATTGCGCATATCTCAGGCACCATAACAACACGTATATATTGCGTCTTTACTCCGCTGCCCCAAATGGCCGACCCCATCTGCAGCGCCCACCAATGTTGCTCTAGCTTCGGCGTTCATACATGTACAATTGTCAAATAAAAAAAGAATTATTGCGCATATCTCAGGCACCATAACAACACGTATATATTGCGTCTTTTACTAGAAAGACACAATACATACGTGTATATAGTGCGTCTTTTACAACATGTATATATAGTGCATCTTTTACTAGAAAAGGCATACATAAATAATTCTAAGGACCGTAGCGTATATCAAGCTGCGCTGACCATGCAACGCTTACACGAAAAGGTGTTTCAACACTTTGCTAAGACGAGTCGGTGGTGGCACCTACCCGTCGCCTTGCATTCTACACCTTATCACCTCTGAGATGGGCGTGCACGCTTGTCGCAGAGCCGTGCGCTTCGTTGTTCGAAAAAACTGCCAGATGGCACTCATAACTCACGTGTGACGTGACTTGATGTGCTCATTCGCCTCCGCTGCACGCTCGAGGCACTCCAACGCAGCACCTCCAAAATACCATTCACCGAATTTCTTGCGCAGAACACCAAATAAATGTTTTTTGTTCACTCTCTCCACACGCAAGACTATTGTTTTTCGACGACATTTGCAGATTGACATGCAGATACGGGGCCAATTTTTTTTTCATTGCTTTGTACCAGCAAAGGAAAGGTGCATTGTTTTCCCAGCTGGATTGACTTTTTTCTCATAAATACCAACAAATTTCTGACCACTCGCTTCAGCAGCAGTTAGACAGAGCACTTCAGACATGCAAAAGGCTACTCTTTTGAGCTGAGTGTCTCATGGTTACGAGTAGGAAAATAAAATAAAACCCTGATTATACACCTTTCAGCAGATTACGCGAAACCATTGTATATCAGGGCATCATAAAATAAACAAACTTAGACTATAGGCAGTTACACTCAGACTTGCCCAAAAAACAGGCACAGACTACTTGAATGGCACGACCTTGAGCTTCTTCAAGGAAGGCAGATTAAATTATTCGTTCCATGGCTCCTAATGGCACCATTACTTGGTTAAAGAAGGTGCAAGCTAATCCTTATTCTGAAAGTAAAAAAGTTTAATGCAATGCACGTCTTTCTCCCGATAAATCAAGTTTGAAAACTGTTCGCACGTGAAAACGAAACCAAAACCACGTTGCCGGCAGCCTCAGTGTCTTCACCATCACATAACAGCGAGGAACGAGTTTGTGTAGAATGCCTTCGTGCGCTATTGAGCTGCACACGTAATTTTTTGCCTTGTGAAGCGCAACTAGTGATTTCCCGCTGTTATAGTAAACATTGATGTTAAGTTAAAGCTACATTGCACAGTAAAAATAGCTGCGTTACAGCGTGCTAGAATAGGGTAGTGGGCTCACTCGCTGGCCGGAGCCATGCATTGCGGTTTTTCGGAGGGGACAGCTGGTATTTTGAAATCCTGACTGGGCGAGTCTAAGGCAATGTCCACTCCCAACAGAGAACGAGAGCTTCGTGCAAACGATTACCTCTTACTTTACTGCTGTCATGAAGGGCGAATTTGAAATTCCTGCGGCCGCAGCCGTTTGCCATCTGCCTTATCAAGCAACGATGGGACTGATCACGTGTGCGCACCTGTGTGGAATTTAAGTGTGGTGGGGCAGAGTGTGCAGCATGCCCCCGTCAGGGGGGGAGTGTTTATGTATAAGAAGGAAAAAAAGAGAAAAGTGAGCCCCGCAACTGTCTGCATCAGGTTGCGACACCTCAGCAGTAGCTCACAAGGGATGGGGGTGAGGAGGGATTGAAAGGATAGGAATAAAGGTGTAGAGAGAGAGATAAGGTATGCCACAGAGCGACAACATGTCGATGGAATAGGAGAAATAAGATAGATGGAAACACAGTCACAGGAGTCCGAGGATAGGGCACCACTAGCGAGAGCTCTTGACGGCGCCAGGAGATGGCGTAGGGCAAGTCCAGTAAATCAGAGCTACGCTGTCATCGGAGATCGGCGTCAGGAGATGACGTAGGGCGAGCCCAGTCGGCCAGAGCTGCGCTGACGTCGAAGATCGCAAGGGCATAACCGGTCGGCACGGAATCCAGCAAGCGAGTCAGTGTGCAAACTAGCCCTTGCTTGTGCGAGCTGGTATTCTTTGTTTTCTCTGCGATCTATGAGTGACGCATCTTGAGTTCAGTTTGGCAATGTAGTGAGTGGGCTGAGCAAGGGACACTTCCAAATATCAACCAAGATGTCCCGCCCAAAGCAGTGCAAATCTCTAACGTTGTAGAGAGCAGTTACGTTAATTAAGGAAGTCCAAAAAGCACGTCGAAGCAAATCGTGCATCGCCAAAGAATTCGGCATAGCGATGTCAACCTTCTTGACAGTACTGAACAACATAAAAATCGCAGCATATTTATGGAGTGAATGATGATGAGTGGGGCAAAACTTCGAAGGATTCTATCGGCAAACCGTGAAGCTGGCCACGTCCGTCCCCATGTCCGTCTGTTTGTGTGTCTGTCCAGTGAACACTCCAAGTGCCGCCATCTCGCATCTTTTTATATATTGATCATATACAAGTACCACCATCCGGTGGACATTCCAAGGACTAAAACAAGAGGTGGCTACCACATACAGGAGACGCACGACCCACGCTTCCAGGAGCTTTGCCCCTAAAAGGTTTTGGAAGGCTTCAAGCAAAGCTTCTCAAGCAAGTGGAAGCGCACTCAAGCTTTCGAATTCCCGGACGTCGGAGCAGCACTTCTGTTGTGGCCCCAAAACATTTAAACAGCCTATGTTCCCGGGACAACTCAAATGATGATAAAAAAAGCTGACACTTGGGCACTGCAGATGGGTCATGCGGACTTCACCTGCAGCAATGGATGGTTCGAGCAGTTCAAGAAGCGAAATGCAGTGTCTTCGAAGCCTACCCAGGGCGAAAGCAGCATTGTCGATGAGCAGGCCACAAACCCATGGTGCAACCTACACCTAGCCGAGCTGCAAAAGGAGTACGCGGACAAGGACATTTTTAGCCTCGCCGAAGCTGCTCTCTTTTACAAGGTGCTTCCTAATTGCACGTGCACACCAAAAGATGAAGCATGTTCAGGCACTAAGCAACACAAATACAAAATAGCCATTCTTTTTGGTGCCAATGCTATCGGCGATGAAAAGCTGCCCCTCCTCATTATTGGCAAGTCGCTGAGATGTTTGAAATGTGCAGCTACGAGCGATGTGCCCTACTGTGCAAATAAAATGACCTGGATGATGGCGGAGTTTTTAAAAGAGCATGTCTGTGCGCTTTACAGTAAGATGGGAAAGGATGGTGAAAAAGTGTTGTTTGTTGTGAACAGCTGCCCCGGTCACTAAAAAATTGACAACTTGGCGGCTGTTACGCTGGAGTTGCTGCCGGCAAACATGACGACCATTCTCCAGGGAGTCATTGAGATGGCCCAAAGTATTATAAGAAAAGCGTGCTGCACCGAATTATGCTGTCATAATACAATGGGAGAAAGTATGAAATCGATCTGCTGGGTGCAGTCAATCAACTTAACTGCTGGGTGCAGTCAAGTTGAAGCCTGGCGCCAACTTCGCCAACAAACGATTCCTAACTGCTCCACACATGCAGGGTTTTCTCGCGCCCCGGTATCGATCGAAGAAGACAGCGGCTGTGATGAGCTGTGCAACGAAGTGCGCAAGGTGATTGGCTGCTTGAGCAATACTGAAGACGGTGAGATTGCATTTTAGGAGTATGCGCTCTGCGAGGCGGACGTCGATATTGTTGAGATGGCCTCTTGATGCAAATGACCAGCAGACGACGAAAAGCCTCGAGAAGGGCCTACTACAACACATAACTTGGTGCGCTTGCGTTGCAACAAGGTCGAATACAGTGGTGGCGACCAACGGGTCATGTGATGTGTTGAGTAACTGGAGAATGCCTTTCTCGGAATGCACGTGAAACAGGCAAGCAGTTTACTGATCCTCAGTAATAAATTTTTTTCCCCCTGCAAATTGCTGTGCCTTTACTACTGTAGTAAAACTTTTGTGCCTAGTTGGTCCATAATCATAGAAGTACATTTACAGTGCAAACACAGACACACCATAAAGAAAGACGGCACACACATGCACGCTTGAGCGTGTCGTCTCTTTCTTGTGGCGTGTCTGTGTTTGCTCTGTAAACGTACCTGTATGATTACTACTGTAGCTCTCACGTGCAGTGAAGCTTTTCCTGGTAGCACTGCCTTTTCTTTTACAATGACCTGGGCAAACATTTTTTGCGTTTTGACGAACTAGAAATTCCACTTATCTTGAAATTTTCTCCAGATTTTACCACTTCGAGCTCACGAGCGATTACTGTACATACAGCACGAGGTAAATCCTTGCCTGCGAAAAGACGCTGTGCCTACAATTCTGCCTTGGCATCGTATCTCATGGAGAAGACACCATGAGAAAGGCCAACCCAAAGACAAAGAGGCCGGGAAGTGTTCCATTCGAGAAGAAGGAATGTTTTCGTACTACTGCCAATAATGTTGATGGCTGTCTCATAGTCTAGACAGACACGCCTGCGACAAGTGTGCAGCTCCTGGAAATCGCATTTGTAAGATATTTCAGGCGATGTGCCCACTAGTCCATAAAGCTTAAACAATACGCAAGCCAGCACAAGCC